TGCTGCACTCCAGGAAACCCCTCAGTCCAGGGCAAACCAAGGCAGCTGGTCACCCTGGCAGAGACAGACACCAAACAAGCAACCAAAAATCATCAAATGATGATAGGTGCTTTGAAGAAAATAGACAATGACAAAGATGACAGTGTACTGAAGAGTGTATTGCTATTTTGCACAGGGATGTCAGAGAAAGCCTCTCTGATATAATGACACTTCAAGAAAGGAGAGAACGAGTCATTCAGGTAAGTGGAGGAAGGGTTACAGGTAGAGTGAATAAAAGCGGTCAATAGCAAATGAAAAGGCCCTAAGGTGGGAGTGCGTTTAGAATGTCTGAGGAATGGCAAGGATGCCTCCCGTGGCTGGAAAGGGCTGAGCAAGGAGCAAAAGAGTAAAAGAGAAAAAGTTCAAGTTAAAGAAGCAATTGGGTGATAGCTATAGCATAACCTACCCATCACTTAACTTCTTCTTGATTATTTTAATCCCACAATTCCAACCTACAATAATTTTCCTTTTTTATTATAATGGAGACTCTGTTTTAATTTATTGAAGATCCTCTCTTCTCACATCATATATTGTATGTGAAAAACACTATTTATCCCATAGCATTGCTTTTGTTTCAATTATTCAACATTTAATTATATTCTACCTGTATGTGCTTTTAGATATCTATATCTTACCTCCCTAAAACTTAAGGATGGATTGATTGAGAGACAGGGTACTAGGATTACAAGGCATGAGCCACTGCACCCAGCCACCTCCCTAAAATTTAGACTTCTTGAGGTCAAGTTCCATATTGAATCGTATTCAACACACAGTATGCAAGCAATAAATACTAATAGATATGACTCTTTAATTTGTGTTTTGTTTATTTTTATGCTCAGAATAAAGAATTCTTACAACTGAACGATAAAAGACAATCCAATTTTTAAATGGGCAAAGGATCTGAATAGACATTTCTCCAAGGAATATATACAAATAGCCAATAGGCACATGAAAAGATGCTCAGTATCACTAGCCATCAAAAAAGCACAAATCAAAACCACAATGCGATACCACTCCACTTGTGGGTATGAGATACCACTTCATACCCACTAGGATGGCTATAATCAAAAAGACATAATAGCAAGTGTTGCTGAGAATGTGGAGAAACTGAAACACTCATACACTGCTGGTAAGAATGTAAAATGCCCCAGCCACTTTTGAAAACAGTTTGGTATTTCCTCAAAAAGTTAAACACAGAATTACCATTTGACCCTGCAATTCCATTCCTCAAAATACATCCAAGATAAATAAAAATATCCACACAACAGTAGTTATAATAGCTAAAACATGGCAACAACCTGCAGGTCCATCAACTGATGAATGGATAAATAAAATGCAGTATATGCACACGATGTAATTGTATTTGGCAAAAAGAAAATAAAACAGAAATACATGCTTCATTGAAAACAATATGCTAAGTCAAAGAGGCCAGTAACAAAGGACAACATATTGTATAATTCCATTTATATGTAATGTCCAGAATAGGCAAATCCATAGAGACAAACTGCAGATAAGTTGCTACTTTGGGTGGTGGTGGATCAGGGTGGGAATATAGGGAAGTGACTGCTAATAAGTTTAAGGTTCCTTTTTGGGATTATGACAATGTTCTAAATTTGTGGTGATAGATGCAAGTTGCACAATTCCATGAACATACTAAAAACCATTGAATTACATACTTCAGGTGAATTGTATGGCATATAAATTGTCTCAGTAAAGCTGTTATTTAAAAAAACTTTTGAGCTGTCTCCAGAATGGAAAATGATACTTCACTGGAAATAATGTTAAGCAAAGGCAAACAGCCTTCTGTTGGAAACATTACTATAAAAGATGGATTCAATCAGTGGTTCCAGTAACAGTTCAGAGTAATCATAAAAATAGCCCAGAGAATTTAATATGTTATTGGGCTCCCCAAAGAATACAATTCAGTAGATCCAGTAATCTGTATTTTTAAAAGGCTTTTCAATTCATTTTAATGTATATCTAGAATTGGGAACCACTGGACCATTAATGTCCTAACTCAATAATTTTATGAGAGTTTATCTTTGCTATCTATGAGATACCTCTCTATCTAGTATTTTCTATTTATCTGAAAATCTTGAGTTCCTTAATGGAACTCACCTCCCTAAATGAAGAGTTTGAGTTTAGAAAGAGGTGGCCTCATTGGATGGATCACAGCACATCACATATTCCTATTAACCTTATATGTGTCCTTTACTTAAGCTATCTCAAATCCTCTTTTTTCCAGAAACGATTTGATTTAAATAAATTGAATAAATAAAAGATTACATATATTATATATATTCTCTAAAACTACATTTCTCAAACTGAGATACATTGAAGAGTCCTTTTATCTCAAATATTAATAATATATTTTTGTTTTTAATATATAGGTATATTATAGAATCAAATATAAAATTTTCATGAATTTTTAAGACAAAACCCAGAAACTTCAAAGAAATTCCACATTTGCCACAGGAACTAGTTCAGACTACACTCCCAGGTTCTAAGGGTATATACTCATGCCCTTCTGCAAGGCATACTTCAGGAAAAATCCAAGAAATCTAGGCATTCTGTTCCACTCCATGGGTGATGAAATATCCCTTCATTCAGAACCATATGTAAGCTAGTCAGGTTATTAGTGATTGTGCTCTGAACACTTCAAGAAGGGGAAAAATGTCTGAACCGAATCCAAGAATTAAACCAAAATCTATTAACAAGTGAGTGAAAAATCTTTCAGAGGCAAGCGACACTCAGAGAAATGTCTGCTGGAGATCAGGCCTTGTAGTTAACCTGTCCAGTGTTTTAATCAGACAACAATAAACATCAAGTGCAACCTCCAGAACTATTTGGACATCGCCCAGCTAGTGGAGAGTACACTCTGGTTGCTTATCTGGGCTTGCTCAGCCCACTGATCCATGAAGAAGCCCTGGGTAGTCTACCCAAGGCCGTAGATGAACTATCACTAAAGAGAAGGTATTCCCCTAGATTTGCAATCTTTCACTTAGATCTAGTGCTTTGATTTTTTAGCTGTTCTTTTTCAGCTAATTTCTCAAAACATTTGTGATAACTTCACTCAGGGACTAACATCTTAAAAGTGGTGTTATAATATCAGGTCTGACACAGAATTATATAAATCTAGGTCAATTTACTCAATATTAAAATAGAAGAGTTGAATAAAATGAATCTTAAGATCCTTTCTAGCATTTAAATTCTACACTTACACAATACTTGCCAATATTAAAGATATGTGCTATGAATTCTAAATGCAATTTCAAAAAAAGAAGTTGTAAACATGACTTTTTTATTCTTTCCATTACGCTGTTTCTTCTTGCATCACCCTAGTTCAAAGCCCTTTCTCCCTCCACTGAAATTTTACAACCATCCTCAATTCTGGTCTTCGATCTCTCCTTATTCCATTATATTGACCACACTGCCATTAGATGATTCTCCCTTCATCATTTCCTTCAATGGCTCCTAGCCCAGCATTCAATGTGCTCCACAGTCTTCTCCCAATTTACCTTTCTAACCTTGTCTATCCCTTCCTTATACTGACTTACACTTCAGCAAACTTGTCAGTGCCTTCTGAAATACATTAGACAAATCCTAGCTTCTTCCAGTGTGCTTATGTCATTCCCCCAGTGTGCTTATGTCATTCCCCCACCTGAAATACTCTCTGTCATACCTCCCACTTTTGTTCCATTCTTCAAGAATGACTACAAGTCTCGCCTCAACTACAAAGCTTTTTCTGACCACCTTCTTTGAATTCCTGAGGCACTTAGCCTGTAATACATCTTTGGCATCCGGCACATGCTACCCTCCTCTGGGCAGATTTAATACAGAAGAGGTCTGTGGTAAAATTTCTGTGTCATTTTTTTTTCCACGTAAGACTCTCAGCTTTAATACAAACTGAATATATAATACACAGCAAATAAAGGGGCCATCTTGAACTCAGATATTTTTTAATTAAAAAAATTACAGCTCATGTGCAATTATTAGAAACTCCACCACAAATCCACCTTACTCTTACCAACAATATTTTTACAGCGATGTTCTAATGTTTGAGCCAATACTTTAGGTTTAGGTTACTACTTCCTGTTTAATACCTTTAAAGGGCAAGAGTTCAAAGTCAGTCATCAAAACTTTTAATTATAAAACTTGAACAAGACAAAAAATTTCCAGAAAACAAAACTAAGAGTATAGTTTTGAACAACAATAAAACCTCTTCTAGTATAGGTATCACACCAAACTCAAATTTGAGAAGAAATAAAAAAAGAGACATTTTGTCTGGTCAGAACCATTTAAACAAAATGGCACATTTTTCTCCATCTGCCATGCAAAACACACAACTTTTACTAAAGCACATGTGCTCCAACAAGTACCACCACCCTTTCCCTAATGGTGAATATTTCTGCTTCAATTCCAGAAACATTTTATTTCAACTATAAAGTTTCTGGTGTTGCTTGATAAAGAATACTTAATCTGGTCTTTACCCTTCTGATAACAATACTGAGATACTGAGATAATGCGGATACAAGTCCAAATTTGCCACTTTCACTTCTATATAAAAACGCCTTCTTGAAGAGCCAAGAAACACTCTCTTAACGAGCCCTGTAATGAAGTGTTAGTAAACATTAGAAAATTGATTGCAGGCATGAAATACTACGTTAAAACAAAGAAAATGTTTTCAACATTTCTCTTTAAACTGAAGTAAAAATATTTCAACCAATATGCTAGAGACTTTCATCAATTCGCAATACCCTAAAACTAAACAGCAATGAAAAAAAATCTCTTATTTAACTATTTTGGCACATAAAGAGTTCCATCTATTTCACAGGACAGAGAAAAGAGGGGTGGGAAAAATGCAGATGTGTGACAAATCTATCTGTTAAGCAATTGCTGAAAGCCAATTTTGTTTTCCTTTCACCAAAGAAAGATCATTCAAGCAAGTCTGCAGGACTCACCTGCAAAGCTGAGGGGTCTGGCAGGAATTCAACATCCTCTCCAAAGATAAAATCGGGAGGCAGTTCTGGGTATTGGGCATTGAAAATGATATCCCCTGAAATAAAAGAAAATGACAGGTCCTTTTTATTTCCTTTCTAAGTATGAATATTCTGAAGACTGTATCAGAAAAACTTCTAAAACAAATTTACATTAGTTTCAGAAAAACATTTGAAAAGCACTTTCTGGATGATTAATTCTTCAAATAAACTAATATCTTTTTTTTTTTTTTTTTGAGACAGGATCTCACTTTGTCACCCAGACTGAAGTACAAAGGTGTCATCTTGACTCACTGCAGCCTCAACCTCCCAGGCTCAAGGGATTCTCCCATCACAGCCCCCCAAGGAGCTGAGACTACAGGAACATGCCACCATGCCCAGCTAGTTTTTGTATTTTTATTAGAGATGGGGTTTCGCCATGTTGTGCAGGCTGGTCTCAAACTCCTGAGCTTAAGCGATCAATCCACCTCAGCCTCCCAAAGTACTGGAATTATAGGTGCGAGCCACTATCCCAGGTCTGCTATCCTTTTTTAATTTAATATCTACAACATGCAATCAAAAAAGCTTTATCTCCAAGTACACAATGAATGTAAATATCCAAGTAGAAAAGTAGAAGCAGCCACATCCACAATATATGCTGATTATTTTTGCAGGAAATATTACTGTCCAATCACTGCCTGCTAATTAATAAGCCTTTATGAAGACTGATTCTGTATAGACACAGTCCTCACCTTGCAGAAATTAAACATACATACCTTTGGCATACTGGAAAGAACATTTGGCTTATAGTTCACAAAAACCTAGATTTATATCCACAAGGTCTCCTCATTATTTATCAGCTCAAGTGATCTGGAGCAAGTTTTAACTTCTTTAGACTTCAGTTTCTTCATCAGTAAGAGGGAGATACAATAGTACTAATGTCACAGATTTGTTGTGAGGATTAAAAGAGATGGCACGCCTGGCAGTGTCCAGCATATAGTAAGTTCTCAACATGTGATAATGGGAGTATTACTGTTGTTTTGATACATAAGACAAATTTACAAAGTCTCATTAGCAAATTTACATTGCAAGTTCTTCTACCTGTTTCTTTTCTGAATCCCTCTGTAGCTCCCTTTTTTTCCTCTGCTCATCCCAAGAATCAGCTCTTATCATTATGCTAATACTAACATGTAAATTAGTTTATCGACCATCTAACACACATATTGAGTTGTAATGCATAAAAATATGTATACTTGTGTATACATACACAACCTCTGTACATGTACATACATACAGCTTTATCAGTCCAATCATTTTTACTGCTCAAACAATAATAGCCATAAAATTATATCCAAATATAAACATTCAAACTTCAGTTCTCATTTGAGTCCTTAAATCTCTATGCACTAGGCATTTCAATGTCAAACTCAGCAAGTCTAAAACGTGATCATGACTGTCCCTTTTCTCACTCCCCTCATTCCCTGATTCCACGCTAAAACTTCAGTGTCATCTTCAACCTTTCATACACCCTGTATACTCTTAGAAAACAAGTCATCTCAATTTTTCCTCCAAAATGTCACTCAGATGGATTTTTCCTACTGTTAACAGCCCCTTCCAGGCCCAGATCTCCTAGTCCATACATTCACTCATCCACTCAATAAATATTTGAACTTTGCCATATGTACTATGGTAGGCACTAAAGATCAAACAAACAAACAAACAAACAAACAAACCCTGCTATTAAAAGCTGACAGACTAAAGAAATTCAATCATTATCATACCTTTTAAAATGGTCTCCTAATACAAGCTACCCTCCAGTTCATAATACATATTATCATCAAGTAAATATTCTTAATGTGCTATGTTGTCCCAACAATTCCTAACTCAAGAAACTTAAATGATACTCTACTATCAAATGGAGTAAAAGCAAACATTTCAAAGTGATATCCACCCTTCTCTTTATCTACAAGCCTGTCTTTTCTTCCAGTCAATATGATCTGCTCAATGCCCTCCAAATACTATGACATCAACTACTATAATATCTCTCTCCTTGCTTAGGTCTTACCATCCTTTATGAACCCACTAAATTGTCTCTTGTATAAGCCTACCCTAATAAATCCAGAACACACAGATCATTGTTACTTCTGAAATTAAAATCCTGATTAGTTATGCCATTCACCTGAGTATTTAGTTGTAAGTAGTCTTATATTGTTTTATTGCTCTATTAATTTTAAAAAATCATAATAAACACAAGCTACCTGTGAGATACTGTGACATGCTATGTCAATACAAAGATAATTATCCTCAAGGAGCTCATGTTTAGTGAGGGATATAAGACATAGACCCAGAACCACAAATACACAGCAATACAAGGTAAGTACATATAATTGAACTTCCTAATTAAATTGTAAGCATCCAGAGAACAGACATGTTTTTATACTTGTTTAATGTTTCTGACAGGGCAGAGTACAGTACAAATAGAATATATTCAACAAACACTCAATAAATTAAAGAAATTCTATTCTCTGAACTGAATGTCTAAGTGTTGAAAAAAATCTTCAGTGAAGAATAAGGCATAGCAACAAACATATGAAAAAACGCTCAACATCACTCACTATCAGGGAAATGCAAATCAAAACCACAATACGGTTATCATGTTACTCATGCGAGAATGGCCATAATTAAAAGAAACAAAAAAATATTAATAATAGATGTTGGCGGGGATGTGGTGAAAGGGGACACTTTTACACTGCTGGCAGGAATGTAAACTCGTACAACCACTATGGAAAACAGTGTGGCGATTCCTTGAAAGAACTAAAAGTAGAAATACCATTTGATCCACAACCCCACCACTGGGTATCTACCTGGAGGAAAAGGAGTCATTATACTAAAAAGATACTTGCATACACATGTTTATAGCAGCACAATTCACAATTGCAAAACTATGGAACCAGCCCAAATGCCCATCAGTCAACAAGTGGATAAAGAAATTGTAATTACACACACACACACACACACACACACACACACCCCATGGAATACTACTCAGCCATAAAAAGGAACAAAATAATGGCATTTGCAGCAACCTGGATGGAACTGGAGACCATTATTCTAAGTGAAGTAACTCAGGAATGGAAAACCAAACACTATTTGTTCTCACACATAAGTGGGAGCTAAGCTTTGAAGACACAAAGGCATAAGAATGATATAATGGACTTTGGGGACTCGAGGGAAAGGGTGGAAGGAGGTGAGGGACAAAAGACTACATACTGAGTACAGTCTATACTGCTCCGGTGATGGGTGCACCTAAATCTCAGAAATCACCACTAAAGAACTTATTCATGTAACCAAACACCACCTGTTCCCCAAAAACCTACTGGAATAAAAAATAAAAATAAAATAAAATGTGAGAAATGCAACACACACAACAAACTAAAAATAAAATATATTTTTATTTAAAAAAAGAAGAAGAAGGCATAGCAAAGTCACTCCTGGAGCTTTCTGTAGGGAAGAAATTTAAACAAGAAAATGTATCCTTCAGAAGACAGGTATAAAATTAAATTAGCAAAAGTAGTACAACCACCATCTCTCACCCTACCCACTATCATCATCTCAGATGACCAACTGTATCTGCAATAAATTATAATTCAGAAGTGCTAACTATAAGGCATTAACTCAAGCCTTGGCTGAAAAGCACAAGCAGAGATAATATGAATGTCCTGATTACTCATTCTTTCAAGTATACGCAGCAAGCATATTCTTTAGGAAGGAACATACTTTAGAGATCTGTTTGTAAAAGTCCTATAGTTGGCTTACTTTACTTACTTTAGGAAAAAAAATCAAAAAGTTAGCAGAGCAAAGATATCAAGGTTTTGAAAAATGCCGATCTAGGATCTATTGTGCCTTGACATTCTAAAAATAAATAACATGCTAAATTCCAATAAAAGAAATTTTATCACTTTTGCTACTCCAGAAGAATGGCTGCATTTTCAAGTTCACAAAGGAACACTGTTAGTAATAAATATTTCCAAACTGGTAAACATTGAAAAAATCTACTTAAAAGATATCCATTCTAGTTGATTCTATTCAACATTATACTAGAGGCTCCAGCAAGAACAATTTGGCAAAAAAAAAAAAAAAAAAAAAAAAGATACAAAATGTATCTACAGTGGAAAAAAGCAAAACTATCTCTACCCACAGATGACATAAATCTTGCATGTAAAAAATCCTAATGAATCCACACAAACAATGAGAACTAATATACAGCTTCAGCAAGGTTGCAAGATACAAGATAAATGTACAAAAATCAACTGCATTTCTGTACAACAGTAATTAACGATCCAAAAATAATTTTTTAAAATTCCATTTACAATGAGATCAAAAAGAACAAAATACTTAGAAATAAACTTAACAAAAGAAGTATAAGAAGTGTACACTAACAACTACACAACATTGTTGGAAGAAATTAAAGAAGGCCTAAATAAATGGAAAGACATCTCAAGTTTGTCAACTAGAAGACTTACTATTGTTAAAATGGCAACACAACCCAAGTTGATCTGTAGATCCCATGCAATCCCTACCAAAGCCCTAGCTGGACTCTTTGCAGAAATTGACAAGCCAATCCTAAAAATCATATGAAAATGCAAGGGATCCAAATAGCCAAAGAAATATTTAAAAGTAATTTGCAGGCCTTCTCAATTATAAAAGTTGTTACAAGCTACAACAATGAAGACAATGTTGTGCTGGAATATGGATAGGAATACAGATCAATGGAATAGAATTCAGAGTCCATAAATACACCTTCAAATTTATGGCCAACTGATTTTTGACAAGGGTGCCAAGACAATTCATTGGGGCAAAAAAGTATTTTCATCATCTCACACTCATTAGAAGAGCTACTATCAAACAAAAAAATAACAAGGGTGGGTGAGGACATGAAGAAATTGGAACCTCTTGAAAGTGCTGGTGGGAATGTAAAATGGTACAGCCACTATGAAAACACAGTGGTGATTCCACACACAAAAATTAAAAATTAACATATGATCCAGAGATCTACTTCTGGGAATATACCGTAAATAAC